GTTATGTAGCTTAATATTAGTTTACCGTAAACATATCCCATATAAGACACGTGTATAAGTTTTTCAGATTAATATTTTAACACGCAGAATGAATTGTATGAGACCAATTAATCTTACCAATATGGTTGAATGCTGCTGAATGTTTAGTGCAAAGGGACAAATAGACAATAAGTAAAAATAACCTGTAAAATTAAGTCAATTTCAGTACGAAGTAACTGCTTGTAACAGGAGCATGGTTTGTTCTAGCTCGCACTGACACTAAAAACTGTTATGTTTTCCATAAACTAACGATGTTATGCAGCTCTTCCACATATAGGACGCTGAACAATTGGATGCTCGGTGATTTTCTCTGTGGGTCATGTATGCTTCTGTCTAACGTATAAGCTTTTATTTCAAATGTACTCCATTCGAATGCAAAAACTTTTTTCACAAAATAAACCTAAACTCTCTTGACGTTCACCTTCAATTCTTGTAAATCAGTTGCAATATTTTTATATCAATAGTTTTATCTAAGCACATACTGACATCTCCACAGGCCTGATGCCAGTAGCCCAAGTTACATTCCGAATAGACACAGATAAGGTGGTACAATTTAAGGATCAATGGTAATGAATGAATCGGTTAATTTTCCATCAAAAGTATCAAAATGATTATTGAATGCCCTGAAATAGGAACTAGTATCTTCTGCTTTATGAAGACACTGAACAAATTCCCTGCGTGGATTACGCAAAAGCATTCAAGTGGGTCGGCCATATTTGATCTGCGGATCTGTTCTGCAGATCAGTAGTTTTCTGTTCTGAATGAGCTCAAGGCCTTAACACAGGTTCTTCTCACATTCGCTCACTGCTGTTAAGTAAATTTAATACGCGTATCGAGCGCAGGGACTACGTTAAGGCAGGGAATTATATCGTAGACAGAATTCCCTGGTTTAGGTGACTTGCTTGCCGAATGCCTGTTTATTAAATTGCCAATCTATCAAAGTCTACCTGTGAAAATTGCACTGCTTATGAATACCACTGATGTAAAGATTCAGTCTTGCGAGACCTTAAGATCATGGCCTTATCAAAGTGAAATACATACACGTAGTGTAACAAAATAGATGCCTTTGAACTTTAAAACGCTCTTACAAGCCACACCCAATAAAAGGACTTGGTATGATGGATAGTTTAATGTTGGCTGGGTGGAAATTATACATAAAAGATGCAGCTTTTCTCGTATTTCAATGAATATGTCTTTTTGTTAGCAGAATACAAAAATACTTTAATTCACACCGCAGTACCATTGGTAACATAGAACAATTGTGTTAACGTTAAAAGGATTTCGACCCAAAAATGTCTTGCACATCACGCTGAATGTGACAAGATTCATTCAACGTCGCCCGATCTGGCTCTCGATGATAGTAATACTTAATAGAAATATTAGATATTTACCCTAACTGCTTTAAGCTTATCTAAAAAGATTTATGATGAACATATGGAAATGACGCTACACACATTGGACAAAAGAAGTGTCACCCCTACTGTGCCAATACTATGGGGGAGATAAATGACTGTGGAATGATATGCTCCTGGTATCATTTTATTAACATCAAATTTCACAAAAAATCACAAAATGAGAACAAAATATACATTCTACCAAAATATGCATTTTCAAGTCCAAAATTAGTACTTAGTGGCATAACCACGTGACCTAATAATAGGTGCCAGTCTACGAAGCAAGGTTTCATATAATTGTCTGATGCGTTCAGGGCTTATGCTGGCCCAAGCATGAAACACTGAATATAACAGAGTTTCTCTGCTGGTTAGACGGGCATTTGTCAAAAGTTTTGACATATCATTCCACACATTTTCTATTATGTTTGCGTACGGACTTTGGGCAGGCCACATCACCCTGCGAATGTCCTGTTGGTCAAACCAATCATCAACTGCTCTGGGCCTGTGACAAGGAGCATTGTCATCCTGGTGAACAAATGGATAATTCCTGTCACCAAACATGTTAGTAATAGATGGTAGCAAGCCTGACTCCAAAACATCGATATATTTCTAGTGATTCATGTTTCCATTAACCACTATCAATTCGCCCAAGCCATGGATGCTGATGCAGCCCCACACCATGATGAATATGCTGCTCCGGGTTCGAAAATTCAGTGCATGTGGTTCAAATGCTTTACCAGCAGTTTGCCAGCATAGTACCCGTCTGTCATCAGAGGTCAGACCAAAGCGACACTCATCAGAAAAAAATATATAGGACCAATTGTCATGAACTGTCCAGTTCCAGATCCTGTTGACCCTAGTTTACTCTACGTTGCCTGTTTTGTAACGATATAAGAGGTTTCAGTCTTGCTACCCTGCTGTACACTCTCTGAGCATGTAACCGACGCCTAGCAATTTTCACAGACACATTCTTATGTGTGAAATTGTTCCACTGTGTTGTCAACTGACAAGCAGTGTCGAACTTTGACAACCTGGACATCAAAATCAGTCGTCGGTCTTCACGGCCAGTATTTTTTCTTGGACGACCCATCAGAGGCAATTTGTCTCTTGATCCAGTGTTTCTATACCGAGACCAGACCCTCTGCACGGTTCTGACTGAACAATTCAATTGTATCGATATTCTGACATTGCTTATATTCCGCCTCTTCAGGTTAACAACTTGCACCTATAACCGTTAGATAATTGCCTGTATCTTGCCATATTGGAGGAAGACAGGAATAACATTTGCTGTACATGTACAAGACCAACAATACAATTCAATGGTATAGCGGTTTTATACTCATTAGTCACATTATAAGTAGACCAGGCATTATAAATACCCAAGATCTGCCTACTTTTATTACTCTGAGTTAGGGGGTGACACTTCTTTTGTCCAGTGTGTGTAGTTATCCAGGTCAAACAAGCCCTGGTTACAGGATAAAAAAAAAAAAAAAACTACAAAAGATTGTCGAAAAGGCAGGAAATGTAATTGGAACAGATCTTACCCACATCCATTCCGTTTATCTCAATAGGGTTACAAATAAAACAGATTCCATCATGACTCGTACTACCCATCCAGCTCATACACTATTCAAATCTAACTCGAGGCTTTTAATTTTTAAGGGTAGTAAGCGATTTTTATCTAGCTTTAATCATTCAGCAGTAACTCTTTTTAACACTTGTACGTAATTTCATTTAAGTACAATTTTAAAGTTTTATTCAACAATGGCCCTACATTGGAGACACGACATTACCATAATGAAATGCAGATACACGTAGCACCTGCGAAAAGAAAACTAACGACCCAGAACTTTATAACGTTCTTCCAATACACAGCTTGTAAAATGAGTTGATATGAGATACTTTAATGTTGACTGAGTTGAAACGTATATAAAAGATGCAGCTTTTTGCATTTCAATGAGTATGCGTTTTTTGAAGAGTTTGCAATGAATTGTCAATCCACGGACAAGAGGGAAGTTTGGCTCAAGACCTGAGAGTTACATAGGTGGCAGTAAGGCCTTAATCTCAAGGTACCTGTTAGCTGAACTGTTCTTGTTAATCCGAGGTTGTTTTGGATAACCCTTAATAGTCTCCAACCAAGTATTGCAGTGTTTGACATAACGGATATCCTGCACTGGGATACAATCTATCAGTTTTTTTTTTTTTTTTTTTCTGTATCTAGCAACGAAAGTGTGAGCCGTCCTTCTTTCTTTACCCGCAACTGGCTGCATGATCGTGACTTGACCTTTAAAATAGGTATCAACCCACAGCACGATCAGTGAACCATTCCCCACTAAACGTTTATCCCTTTACAAATATATTACCTCCGTAAAAAAGTGGCATTTCACATTATACCTTCACAAAGTAATACATCTAGTAACAATAAGAAATAAATAACAATAAGGGTACTCTGTGACCCACAAGCCCTTGTTTGGATGTTATCGACCAACGTGACATCTATCAGCAACCTAGTGCGTGTTTCAAAAAGGCATTTGTAATATATAAAAAAGTCTCCAATCTTAAAAGTTTTATTGAATTTAAAGGGGCCCTGGAATGAAGAAATCACACATCTATTTTAAATCTAATATTTATTTGTAGTTATATTTGTGTTTATTTAAAATATCTTAAGTTTACCAAATAAAGTGTGTATAGGGGTACATGTTAACAAATAATTATACAAAGCGTTATAACATTTTTAAACATCACGTTTAAATCATCCACCTAAAAATGTCAAAGGACATCTATTACTAGTGTAGCTCGGAAAATATGTCCAACTGGAACATCTATACCTGACTGCAGGACTTAGAATACTAAGTAATGGGTGTTCACAGGACTTTTAATCCAAGGAAATTGAACATGCGTTTCTAGGAATGGGACACCCAGGACATGCATTCCCAGGACATCCATTCCCTCCACAGCAACCCATTATTATAAAGTCTGGATCGTCAATAATATTTCCTTTCTCTTCACTTAAAAATCCTTAAAATGATGGGGTTGGACGTGGATCTCTATCATTTTCCCAGCTACGGCACAGATCAAACTTGAATTGAATTAATATCTAACCCGGCATGGCACCATGCATATCATACTACCATCAAAAAGTGCTATCTTCTCGGGATTAGACACTAAATAGACTTCCTGCGGGGATTACACAACAAGCATTCAAGTGGGTAGGCCATATTTGATTCCATGTTGTTAAGTAAATTAATACGCGTATCGAGCGCGGGGCCACATTAAGGTCACTTGTTTACGTAACACCTGCTTATTAAATTGCCAATCTCTCAAAGAATACCAGTAAAGATTGCACCGCTCATGAATACCCCTTATGTGAAAAGTCAATCTTGCGAGACCTAAAGGCAATTGCCTTATCATGAATATGAAATATACACGTAATGAACAAAATGGATGCCTTTGAACTTTATAGCTCTCACAATCCATACCTAACAAAAGGAGTTAATATGATAGATGGGTTAATGTTGACGGGGTGAAAATTGCATACAAAAGATGCAGTTTTTCTTGCATTTCAATTAGAATGCCTTTTTGATGTTCGCATACAGATATGTTTCAACTCAGACCACTGTACCATTCGTAAAACAGAACAAGCGTGTGAAAGTAAAGCGCTTCTCGTGCCAGAAATGTATTGCATAGCCATGCTGAATATGCCAAGACTTATTCAACGCCGCCTGATTGGGCTAGCTACGATAGTACAACCCAACAGAAAATTGGGGAGATTAATCCTACCTGCTCAAAACTTATCAAAGAAGATAACAGTGTCCGTATTTGATAAACAAAGGGGGATGGCGCCAGTTATCCACCTCAAGCAAGGCCTGGTGAAACAGCCATGGCATTTTAGAAAGGTTAGTGATATGAGATATTGTGTTAAGTCTTTCGTCTCCATGTGTTCCTTTTCAATAAATCCTTGTCTTAAATAATATCAAAGCAAGACATCTCTCAGTAATGTTTAATCACAAAGCAAAGATCTGTTAAATAGGTTTTACTTTTTTCTGCGATATATCATGTGGTGAAGCAATTAAAACGATTTTGACGTCTACCATGCTTATGATCGTGGAGATTTTTATGATGATAAGTTTGGGTCATATTGCGCTTGCAACTTTTATGCAACCCTTTTGCAAACTCAGTCGCAAGGAGGTTGTCATAGGTTTTAAAGTGGTCGCATAATGTTGCTTACAGGTTGCAAGCTATCACTGACACATACAAGCATTTTTTGTGCACCAACAACAAATGTGACTGAGGATGACAAATATGGATACCCCAATGGTTGCTTATCGGTCTTTTCTTGGTTGCCAGTAGTTCGTTATAACCAGACTAAAACCAGGTGTACGCCACTTGCAACTGCACTGTCGAACAAGGATTAAAGCATAATTAAATTTATAATTATCATTATTGCAGTGCTGGTTGCAATACGAATTAGATATTTAGCTATAGTAATGTTTGTTTTCTCACAAACGTTAAATAAAGAAAGCATGTGATGAAACTAACCCAACTTCCAAGCCTTCTTTGTGAAGGTTCCATTTCACTAGGAGGTTTTCTTGTCTTATGAGAGGGGAATGGATGTGAAAGAGAATCGTCAAAAGTTTCCAACAAATATGATCTCTGCCACCTTGTGGTTACCAGTAGGCAATCGATCACTACAGTCCTGCAACTGTTTTCAAGTATCAGCAAGTGGTCGCTGACAGGTTGTCTATCGCTCGAAAAACGGTGTGCGACTGGTAAACCATAGCTTGAATGTGGTCTTCAGAGGTTGCAGATACTATACATACCGCAACCTTGTTTCGACCGGTGTATTAAATGTTGCCGATCAAAATATGCCAAAGATTCTCATTCAGCTCGCAAAGTGATTACAAGCGACCGCCATTTTGTGGTTGCTCAACGGTTGCCAAAAGGTTGCAAGCACAGTGTAACCAGTGCTTTACTGGTCAAATGTGAATAAATAAAACCAGCAATATGAAATAAGAACCGAAGTGTAATCTTGGTATTTCCTTGCTTGTTCAGCCTGATGAATACCCACAAATTACAGGCTCGGACCATTGGAGACGAAAAATGCGTACCTTATTTAGGGCCTTCGACGTAAACGGTGATGGTTACTTGACAGAAGAAGATTTTGAGATGAGCGCCAGGCGTTGTTCAGAGTACATGAATCTTAATGGTAAATGTTTTAATTTTCAATATAAATGTCAATATTGGTTTCATACTACAGGTTTGTTTGGCAATAAAAGCAATACTATATATTATGTTTCTAAAATATTGTATCATTTATTCAGTAAGTAATCCTTTTTTATTTCGCTCATACGCGTGCATACGCATTTAACGTACAAGTGTGTCTTTCAATCAAAGTAATTAAAAACCAATTAAAAAAAAGGACTATTGTAATACACATAGTCTTTGATCTATTTGTATATATACTGTACCGTATACATTTCAGAAGAAAACACTAAAATCCTTCTGGACCAACGCCTTACCTACTGGAGAGATTCAATGTCTAAAGATTCGACAGGTAGGAATATAGGTAAAATATCCGAGGACCAGTTCGTGGAGAAACAGCTCGTGACCATGAACGACAACAATTTCCGAGAAAGTTTCTTTGATATCCTTTGTTCAAGATTTAAAATGATGGATCTTGACGGCGATGGACTTATTTCTCCAGATGAACATGCTGCTATTTTCTACGGTTTCAACATCCCTCCTGAGCACTCAAAGAAAATATTTGACATCATAGACAGCAACAGTGACGGCTTCATTACCCAAGAAGAGTTCATTTGCGCACTTATTGAATTTTATTTAACCGAAAATCCTGACAACAAATACAACGAGTGCAACGGTCCGCTCGTTGACAATTAAAATTGATGTTCTTTCTATCGCCAAAAGAGAAAAAACAAATATTTTGCCCAAATGATTATTGAGTTTACAAGAAACACATATGTACTGCAATGAACATTACATTCCATATGAGTGCCTGAACATACGGGACCAGTAAATAGACAGGTACAGAAATAAGTGCCGAATGCGTGAAACACAAAGTGAACAAAGTGTATTACCAAAGTCACATACAAAATAGTGTAAATGATTGTAGACGTTTAATCGAAATATTTGTTGTGAGACGCTAACACAGAATGCTTAAACTCTCTCAAATATATTTAAAGATCTGATATATAACAATTCATTTAATAGCTAGCTTATAACATGCACATAGTTTTCTGTAGCTTACACTGACATACATAAAAGCTGATATCAAGGTTTTTCATAAACTAAAAATGTTATGTAGCTTAATATTAGTTTACCGTAAACATATCCCATATAAGACACGTGTATAAGTTTTTCAGATTAATATTTTAACACGCAGTATGAATTGTATGAGACTAATTAATCTTACCAATATCGCTGAATGTTTAGTGCAAAGGGACAAAATAGACAATAAGTAAAAACCTGTAAAAGTAAGTCAATTTCAGTACGAAGTAACTGCTTGTAACAGGAGCATGGTTTGTTCTAGCTCGCACTGACACTAAAAACTGTTATGTTTTCCATAAACTAACGATGTTATGCAGCTCTTTCACATATAGGACGCTGAACAATTGGATACTCGGTGATTTTCTCTGTGGGTCATGTATGCTTCTGTCTAACTTATAAGCTTTTATTTCAAATGTACTCCATTCGAATGCAAAAACTTTTTTCACAAAATAAACCTAAACTCTCTTGACGTTCACCTTCAATTCTTGTAAATCAGTTGCAATATTTTTATATCAATAGTTTTATCTAAGCACATACTGACATCTCCACAGGCCTGATGCCAGTGGCCCAAGTTACATTCCGAATAGACACAGATAAGGTGGTACAAATTAAGGATCAATGGTAATGCTAAGAATCGGTTAATTTTCCATCAAAAGTATCAAAATGATTATTGAATGCCCTGAAATAGGAACTAGTATCTTCTGCTTTATGAAGACACTGAACAAATTCCCTGCGTGGATTACGCAAAAGCATTCAAGTGGGTCGGCCATATTTGATCTGCGGATCTGTTCTGCAGATCAGTAGTTCTCTGTTCTGTTCGAGCTCAAGGCCTTAACACAGGTTCTTCTCACATTCGCTCACTGCTGTTAAGTATATTTAATACGCGCATCGAGCGCGGGGACTACGTTAAGGCAGGGAATTATATCGTAGACAGAATTCCCTGGTTTAGGTGACTTGCTTGCCGAATGCCTGTTTATTAAATTGCCAATCTATCAAAGTCTCCCTGTGAAAAATGCACTGCTTATGAATACCACTGATGTAAAGATTCAGTCTTGCGAGACCTTAAGATCATGGCCTTATCAAAGTGAAATACATACACGTAATGTACGGGATAACAAAATAGATGCCTTTGAAATTTAAAACGCTCTTACAAGCCATACCCAATAAAAGGACTTGGTATGATGGATAGTTTAATGTTGGCTGGGTGGAAATTATACATAAAAGATGCAGCTTTTCTCGTATTTCAATGAATATGTCTTTTTGTTACCAGAATACAAAAATACTTTAATTCACACCGCAGTACCATTGGTAACATAGAACAATTGCGTTAACGTTAAAAGGATTTCGACCCAAAAATGTCTTGCACATCACGCTGAATGTGACAAGATTCATTCAACGTCGCCCGATCTGGCTCTCGATGATAGTAATACTTAATAGAAATATTGGATATTTACCCTACCTGCTTTAAACTTATCTAAAAAGATATATGATAAACATAGGGAAATGACGCTAGTTATCCAGGTCAAACAAGCCCTGGTTACAGGATAAAAAAAAAACAACTACAAAAGATTGTCGAAAAGGCAGGAAATGTAATTGGAACAGATCTTACCAACATCCATTCCATTTATCTCAATAGGGTTACAAATAAAACAGATTCCATCATGACTCAAACTACCCATCCAGCTCATACACTATTCAAATCTTTACCCACTAACTCGAGGCTTTTAATTTATAAGGGTAGTAAGCGATTTTTATCTAGCTTTAATCATTCAGCAGTAACTCTTTTTAACACTTGTACGTAATTTCACTTCAGTGCAAATTAAAAAGTTTTATTCAACAATGGCCCTACATTGGAGACACGACATTGCCATAATGAAATGCAGATACACTTCGTACCTGCGAAAAGAAAACTAACGACCCAGAACTTTATAACGTTCTTCCAATACACAGCTTGTAAAATGAGTTGATATGAGATACTTTAATGCTGACTGAGTGGAAACGTATATAAAAGATGCAGCTTTTTGCATTTCAATGAGTATACGTTTTTGTCTTCTGTATAAAGGACTGTTTTTACTCAGGCCACAGTTCAATTCGTTTCAGAAACGATTGTGTGAACGTTAACATCTTTTTGAGCTAGAAATGTCTTGCACAGCCATACTGAATATGTCAAGACTCCTTCAACGTCGCCTGCTTGGGGTCGCAATGATACTACAACCTAACAGAAATTTGAGGACATTTATCCCGACTGGGCAAAATTTATCAAAGAAGATACAGCTGCCCCTATATGACAAACATAGGGAAATGGCGCCAGTTATCCAGCTCAAGCAAGGCCTGGCGAAGCAGCCATGGCATTTTAGAAAGGTATGAGATATCAAATATGTTATGTCTTTTGTTGGCATTAATAATAAATTCTAGGCTGATGTTATTTTAAGGTAGGTCAATTTTCAGCAAATTTCAATTAGCACAGCTTTAATATGCATAAAAATACATGCCACGTGGTCACAAGATCTGTTAATCAATAGGTGGCGTTTAGTCAGCAAAATATCTACTTGTATGCGACGAAACAAACCATCCATTGCAGGGGTCCCATCTCTTTTTGACATATGGGGTCCGTTTTCATGTTTTTATCATGAGAAATATCAACCAAGTGTCTTTAAAGTTTAATGCCGAAATGTTACCTTGGTTTTTCTTGAATCGTTGAGCCTATCGAATACCCTCAGCTGACTGGCACCGATCATTGGAGGCGCAAGATGCGCACCGTATTTAGGGTCTCCTACCTAAACGGTGATGGTTGCATCACACAAGAAGATAAGGAGGTGATGAACAGACGTACCGCAGAGTATATGAATCTAGATGGTAAATGCATTAATTTTTATTTCTATTTCCAAATGTTAGATTCGTATTGTGCATGTAGGCCTGCTTAGAAATAAACGTAATACGTTTAACTATTAAAACTAAAACATATTAGAAACCTATTTTATTTTGCACAAACATTTCACATGTAAATATCATAATGGGCCAGAATTAATTAAAAGTACCAACCCACTTCAATAGTATTTTAATATTAAAATATACTCACGCCTGATATTGTAAACATACGGTACATATTTTAGATTTAGTATTAGTAAGTAAATGTATTTGTCACGCTACATACGTGTGATTCCATTATTTGAATTCATGTTTTACCTGAATTATATACAGTATATCAGTAGCCATATGTAAGATTGTCACCTGAACGGCTGACTTTTCGGTGCCTTTTGTCCTGTCAAAGGGAGTTCCCCTCCCCTGGACAAATATAACCTGTAAGAACCCGATAAACATTTGCAGATTTAGCAGGTGTCAGGAGGGTCCTGATCCCCTTCAATTTCTGGAAACAAATTATACCAATGGTCCATCTTGAAATAATAATTTGACTAGCTGAATCATAGTTATAATCCATGTCAAATGGCACCGTTCGCCCTCTAAAATACCAAAAATTCCGATCACTTCAGAGGGCCCCGGACCCCACTCCAACCAGCATTGCTAGGATTTGGAAGTCCTGGGGCATACGTTACAAGTTATGCAAGTCCTACGTGGATGGGACGTGCGTTCCTAACATTTTAGTAACGCGTTTCCTATATGGTTTAGACCGAGAAATAAAATAAATAAATAGATATAGAGATGTACTTCAATGTAGTTTTAAAGATATAATAAACGTTTGCTTTATTTCATTAATATGACATTTTATTTTAATATTCTACGATGTTTTTATTTTGCTGTATTTGCATATAATAAAGTAACTAAAACAACACGGCTTCCGTAGTTTTTTCTTCATTTATTTTATAATGTATATTTCTTCCCAGTAAATGCACATTTTTATATGATTTAACGCATACTTTTGGCGCACCCCCCCCCCCCTCAGTGCACAATATGTACATGTATGAGCCTGTTTTGCCCGATATTTTTAACAATATAAGGAACCATCCAAGGCATCTCATCTTTTCCTTTGCGATATATATATATCAGGTTTAACTGAGATTAAAGCACTATCCTGTATATATACACTGATGCTCATAAGTTAAGCAACACCCCGATTTTTTCAAAAGTTTCTTCTATCATGATCATTATTTCATTTGTTGGTGGGGTTATGCATATTTCTTTCATATTTTATAAATAACTTATTCAAGTTGAATATTTCTGTTAAATATATACACAACATAGCTTATTGTAATAATCAAAATAACTTTATTAACCAAACGTTACTAAAATATGCCAAACTATGTGTCAAAAAAGTATGCTNCAATTTAAGGATCAATGGTAATGCTAAGAATCGGTTAATTTTCCATCAAAAGTATCAAAATGATTATTGAATGCCCTGAAATAGAAACAAGTATCTTCTGCTTTATGAAGACACTGAACAAATTCCCAGATGCAGATGCAGATCAGTAGTTCTCTGTTCTGAATGAGCTCAAGGCCTACGTTAAGGCAGGGAATTATATCGTAGACAGAATTCCCTGGTTTAGGTGACTTGCTTGCCGAATGCCTGTTTATTAAATTGCCAATCTATCAAAGTCTCCCTGTGAAAATTGCACTGCTTATGAATACCACTGATGTAAAGATTCAGTCTTGCGAGACCTTAAGATCATGGCCTTATCAAAGTGAAATACATACACGTAATGTACGGGATAACAAAATAGATGCCTTTGAACTTTAAAACGCTCTTACAAGCCATACCCAATAAAAGGACTTGGTATGATGGATAGTTTAATGTTGGCTGGGTGGAAATTATACATAAAAGATGCAGCTTTTCTCGTATTTCAATGAATATGTCTTTTTGTTACCAGAATACAAAAATACTTTAATTCACACCGCAGTACCATTGGTAACATAGAACAATTGTGTTAACGTTAAAAGGATTTCGACCCAAAAATGTCTTGCACATCACGCTGAATGTGACAAGATTCATTCTACGTCGCCCGATCTGGCTCTCGATGATAGTAATACTTAATAGAAATATTGGATATTTACCCTACCTGCTTTAAACTTATCTAAAAAGATATATGATAAACATAGGGAAATGACGCTAGTTATCCAGGTCAAATAAGCCCTGGTTACAGGATAAAAAAAAACAACTACAAAAGATTGTCGAAAAGGCAGGAAATGTAATTGGAACAGATCTTACCCATATCCATTCCATTTATCTCAATAGGGTTACAAATAAAACAGATTCCATCATGACTCAAACTACCCATCCAGCTCATGCACTATTCAAATCTTTACCCACTAACTCGAGGCTTTTAATTTTTAAGGGTAGTAAGCGGTTTTTATCTAGCTTTAATCATTCAGCAATAACTCTTTTTAACACTTGTACGTAATTTCATTTCAGTACAATTTTAAAGTTTTATTCAACAATGGCCCTACATTGGAGACACGACATTGCCATAATGAAATGCAGATACACTTAGTACCTGCGAAAAGAAAACTAACGACCCAGAACTTTATAACGTTCTTACAATGCACAGTTTGTAAAATGAGTTGATATGAGATACTTTAATGCTGACTGAGTGGAAACGTATATAAAAGATGAAGCTTTCTGCATTTCAATGAGTATACGTTTTTGTCTTCTGTATAAAGGACTGTTTTTACTCAGGCCACTGTTCAATTCGTTTCATAAACGATTGTGTAAACGTTAACAGCTTTTTGAGCTAGAAATGTCTTGCACAGCCATACTGAAAATGCCAAGACTCGTTGAACGTCGCCTGCTTGGGGTCGCAATGATGCTACAACCTAACAGAAATTTGAGGACATTGATCCCGACTGGGCAAAACTTATCAAAGAACATACAGCTACCCCTATATGATAAACATAGAGAAATGACGCCAGTTACCCAGTTCAAGCAAGGCCTGGTGAAGGAACCATGGCGTTTTAGAAAGGTATGAGATAAATTAGATATGTTTGGTCGTTATTTATTCTTTTCCAGGTCAATAAATTCTAGTCTGACGTTATATTAAAGTCATAATAACTTTTCGTTTGGCAAAAATTGGATTTTCCAGGAGTAAACGGAAATTTTCCCGTACTTACCAATGGTCAACGACCCCATTCCTGCATTCAAATTAGTCCAGCATTTTCTCCTAAACGCTTTTTTTTTTGTTAAAATAACTTAAGATATTTTAACTAACGGAGCTCTCTGACATTGCATAGTAACGCGATATCGAGCGATACTTTTTGGCGACCTACTTTAAACCGCGGTATAAATAGACAACAACAACACTACCGGTATATAACAATAATATAAGATTCATCAGATATATTCGTCTTATTGCTCAAAATGCATTTTTATCTACGATGTGTGCAGTACAAAAACAAAAGCATCATTTTCATATGGTGCCATATTTTATTTTGGTCTCGAATGAACGCGAGAATCCGCGTGACATCCCAACGCCATTGGCAATGACCGGGAAGAAGGGATCGAAAGCCCTATTGACAAGCACAGATTTAAGTTTTACTATAATAACAGCCGTTTGAGTGGTAAAAGGCAGTATAATATAAAATGTTTTCATGCGTTGTTTACATTGTATTTTTTGCCGAATTTTGAATCTCAAAGGAAGAATAATTATTGCTTTAAGGTACGTCAATCAGTACTTTTCAATTAGCAAAGCTTTAATATGCATAACAATACAAGATATGTTGCACATGATCTTTAATCAATAGGTGGCATTTTGTCTGCAATATATCTATGTGTCCACTGCAGGGGTCCCGGCTCTTTTTGATATCTGGCGTCCGTTTCATGCTTTATTTGAAGAATATCAATCAAGTGTGTTTAAGTTAAATGCCAAAAATGTGACCATGGGTTTTCTTTTCTTCTTTTCTCAGCCTATCGAATATCCACAACTGACTGGATCCGATCATTGGAAGCGCAAGATGCGCACCGTATTTAGGGCCCTCGACGTAAACGGTGATGGTTGCATCACACAAGGAGATATGGAGGAGATGAACAGACGTACCGCAGAGTATATGAATCTTGATGGTAAATGCATTTTAATTTCTATTTCCAAATGTTGGATTCGTAATGTGGATGAGGGCCTGCTTAGAAATAAATGTAATACGTTTAAGTATTATAACTGTTTCTAAAACATATTAGATACATATTTTATTTTACACAAACATTTCACATGTAAAAATCAACTAAAAGTACCAACTTACTTAAGTAGTATTTTAATATTTAAAAAATATCCATGCATCTTATTGGAAACATACGGTACATATTTCAGATGACAAGACTAAAACTATGCTGAACCAACGCCGCACCTATTGGGGAGATAAAGGTCCCGACAAAATATTCGAGGATGAGTTCGTGGAGAGTCATCTACTCAAGATGAACGAAATCAAGTTCCGAGAATTTTGGTTTGATACTCTTTCTTCGAGATTTCAAATGATGGATCTTAATGGAGATGGACTCATTTCTACAGATGAACATGCTGCTATGTTCTACAGCTACAAGATCCCCACTGAGCATTCGAAGAAAGTGTTTGACATGCTTGATATTGACAATGATGGCTTCATCTCCGTGGAAGAGTTTGCCCACGCATCCTCTGAATTCTGGTTCACCGAAAATCCTGACAACAAATTTAATGAATTCTTCGGTCCACTCGTTGACATTTAAATTGAAACCAGATTTAAAGGGGGTAAGGGGGGTCCCCCCCTTCCAACGGTTTCTGTAAATTTTATCACACCAATAATCCCCGCTTAAAATTAGAATTTTGACTTTTAATCATAGTTGTACTAAAGGGCACTGTTTGCTCCCTAAAATGCCAATAATAGAAAATCGGAGCCATTGAGCAGATCTCGAACCCCACTCCAAGGGGGCAATGACCGGCATCGTATCCGAGACCTGTCGTTCCGCCCCCCCCCCCCCCCCATCCTTCAAATAATCCTGAATCAATCCGCCCCTGTGCTAGTTGTATTATGTAAATGTATTTTTCACGTCTCTTTCGTGTGCTTCCATTATTTGAATTTGTCTTACCTGAATTATGAATATCAGTAGCCATAACACCACATCATACAGTGGCGGATTTATGGGTTTCTGAAAAAAATACCACACTAATTTTCTTTTCCTAGATTTACAATTTTGATTAGCTGATTCATAGTTCTTAACCGTAACAATGGCAACGTTTGTCCGCCAAAACACTCCAAGGGGGCGAGAGTCGGCCTCTTATCTTAGGTCTGTCATTCCTCAAGATATCGGACCCCCATTCAAATAATCCTGGATCCACCTGTGGAGACACTGTCAATTTAATGTAAGGCTTTTACGTAAGATTGTCACCTAAAACCTCTTTGTCCCCGTGAAAGGGAGTTCCCCTCTCTTTGGCGAATATACATGTAAGAACCCGGTAAACAGTGGCGGATTTAGGGGGTGTCAGAGGGATCTACCCTGAGTGTCAGAGCAACGTAAAAGCTAGCTTGCTAAATATACCTTGTGGTGGACTGGAGTCGCTTTTACAACTCTGAAGACCAGCGGCCATGAAAGTTTTCCATCAATCAAATAGAACTGCTCCGCAGTGAGAATGCAGTTGAATGTCATCAGACCAAAATAAAACGTAAAACAAATTTAATTCTGCTTTATTTTATTTTATTTGCTGTATTTAAGATGTAAAATGAAAAAATAAATAATATTCTTCGGAAAGAAAAGATATATCCAATGTTTTTGTATTTTTTGCTTATCAAAGAACATTTAGTCCTGAGATATATACGACTTGCATTATTCGAAAGGTGCGATGTGCGCATGACCGGAATTGTGCACTGCAGGGGTCAAAATAGTACCGGAAGCGTTGTTGACAGCGATAGGAACACATGATGGAAGCATAAGACGTGCCGGGGGCGATATTAAACGAACCATTTGAGGCGACAAAGGTGCCGGAGTTGAAAAGTTGGTTAAAATGAAGGTGCCCACACATCAGGCAAAAAAGAAGAGCTGATAAAAATGTATGTTACACGATATTTTCTTAAATACAAGACCAAATACAAAACCCCAATGTGGTCATTATGTAATTATGTTCACCTGAGTCATTTATTGGGGAGATAAATTTGTCACCTGGTTCAGGCAATTATCTGATACAATCTCTGAGGTGGGCTAGTGCACTGTACAGGTTATTAGTACAAGCTCACTGTCAATATCAGTGCATCTATCATTTGCTTCTTCTTCATTATATTTCAGTTGGTTGATTTCGGTTAAAAAAATATGACTAGGCATGTCAGTTTTCTGTTTTGTCATCATTCTAATATGTATGTATGTAAATTAATCACTGTTATAGATGTGTTGATGATGACTTTAATAATTATTTTCATGACTATTTTTCACTTGTTTTATAGGTGTAAACTGTACAGTGAGGATAGAGAGAGAAACAAAATATTGGATCCTGACGGCAGAGAAAATTAGAATTAGGCCTACCAGATTGAAGTTTGAATCAAGACAGTGGAGAATGGACCAAGTCCTTGAAGGGAATGCCCAAACCGTTTTTTTTTTTAATATTTGCCTATTAATAAATACAATTCAATATTTCGTCTCACAATTTTATTTTGCATAATAAAAGCAATGATGTTGCCTTGGAAATATCTTTCCAAGGTACCTTACGAAATTTCACTGATCCATGTTTTAAAATACAATGTTTTAAACATTTTCTAGATATGTTCAAGTGCATTGTGATAATAAAAATGAGATATTTGGTAAAATTGTTCTCTTTTTTGTTATTTGCATAAGTAATATACGATTCAATACTCCTTCACAGTCAGGTTTAAACCTGGTTTTAGTTTTACTCGGGTCTAAGCAATGGCGATAACAATACTCTAAAACCAAAGTAAAACTAAAACCAGCTTTAACCTTGCTGAGAAATCAAACCAAAGTTTCACATGACAGTTTTCATGCCATTTTTTTTATACTGAGGTAATGTCAAGGTATAAAAAGTCATGAAAATTTTTAATTCCTCTTAGGTTTCAAGACCGATGTAAAATTTAACCATTTCAGGTTTGTTGTTCATAGACTTTATGCTGAAAGTGTGTTTATCAACTTCCTCATGTGCTTCGGACAGTTGTTCCAGCATTTTTTCTCTGTCACACTATTTCTTTATGCATTTTTGTTTTTGCTCGTTGTAATTCCACTCTTGTTTCCGAAAGTTCAATTTCTAAAGATCGGATTTTCTGTTCCATACTGAAAATATGTTGTTAAAACTGTCGTTAAAAGCGCATCTGAACCTGCATCTGATACAATGCAGTAGGCATTGTGGTCTGTATTTGAAAAGCCATTTTCGTCCTCGCTGTTCAACTTCCCACTTGCCGCCAGGTTCACTAAAATTTGTCTCAGAGTTATCAACAGTTAAATGTCTAATAAATTTTCTTCGGGGCTTACAAATCTTCGATTCCTTGAGTGGAAATATAGTTGGTCTTCCACCCAAATACGATTTATTCCCTCCTTCAAAATGAGCACTACACACACGGTGATGCTTGGCGGGCTCGAACTTACTAAATTTGCCTTCATTTCCCGCTCGTCCAATATTGTCAATCCATATACCTCTCTTTTTTGGGTCCTTGGGGAAAGCATAAAATGAAAAATTTCGATCTCGCTTCGTATTGTTGAAACAAACAGGCACAAAACACATAGAACCGCCGAGAGGCATTTTATTTCTGTGTACAGAAATGGCGGCAAAAAGGTCCCACTTTACCCACAATGCATTGCGCTGAATAGCGAAAACGAGACGAATAATGCAAGTCGTATATACACGTGCACAATACATGTGCTTGATGTGTGCCAAATTTGACAGCTACACTGTATGCCCGATACCACTATAAGGGCTGCGCAATGGCTAAGTTTTTACAGCAGAATGTTGCTTGTATTGTGGCACTGACCTTCGACTGCAAGATATTTTCAATACAAACTTCTAACTCCGCGTCAGGCACTTTAATTGCTTCTCTGCACGAGACTTCAGCGCAAGGCGGGAAAGGCAGCTCCAGGCGGTCAAACCTGTGACGTACGAGATTTATGACTTCCAAATATGGATCCAGGCGGACACAGCTGTGACGTGTGACTTCCAAATATGGAAGTGCCCCAGGCAGAATTTTGAAGAAGAACGCCTCCGAGTTGCCACTGTGCGCTAGAGCCTGGTATTGCTACTATGGGTTATATATGAAATCAAGATCGAGCTGGCAATACCGGAATCTAGAACCTAGGGTAGAGGGATCCTGATCCCCTTCAATTTCTGGAAACAAATTATACCAATGGTCCCTCTTGAAATTAGAATTTTGACAAGCTAAATCATAGTTAAAATCCGTGTCAAATGCCACCGTTCGCCCTCTAAAATACCAAAAATTTCCGGTCCCTTCAGAGGTCCCTGGACCCTACGCCAACCGGCAGGGGAGGGGGGTTGGCTTCGCATCTACGTACCCCCATCCCCTACAAAAATCCTGGATCCGTCCCTGGAAACGATGTTTCAAAGAAAAGTTAGGAGTAGTCAAACAGCAATTAATAGCGACAATATTTACATGTGGTCAGTCATGAGTTGTCTTAGTTGAGGTAAATGTTGCCACTTGTATCAGGGGAGCGTATTCGCTTGACCCTATTTTGCTTGTGTGCACGATTTATTCTATTAGCGCGCACGGTACGATTTAAGCCAGAAGTTACACATTTGACGTTTAATATGGAATATTTTAGTTTAAATGGTATGCCTAGGTAAAAATGCGTTCTTTAAAAAAAGCTTGGATCTCATATAAGATGTGAATGGAGAAGTGTGAAGTCAGATGAGGCACTACATTTTTACTGACCACCATGTCTGTACAACCTTAGCTTCAGAGATAACTTGACACATACCTCTTCACTGTCGACTGTCTTCATCGTGTCAAGTTACACAGTGAAGAGGTAAGTTTCAAGTTATCTCTGAAGCTCAGGGTGTGTTTGTAGTACTTCTGCATTGAGTTATACGCAGTTATTAAACTGGGTACTTCTCCTTTGGGCTGGTCAAATGTTGACTTTGGCGAAGCATTGTTCTTTCCAAAAAGTATCCATATCGAATTCTCACCACCAGAATACAGGACTCACTTGAGGTACATGTTGCCACTTTTTTTAAACGTCGGTAAAACACCAACGGCACTCATTGATAAAAAAGCCTGAACCACATCATATAAAGGAATAATCCGGGAACCACTTGACTACCATTTGATAGGGGGTACCTTAGGAACAATCTTAGGTTGAAAATACCGGTGTGGCAGGAGTGCACATCATAGTAACGTATGTCCCAATGAGACGTGCGTTCCTATATGGTTTACACGGAGAAATGATATGAACAAATAGAAATAGAGATATACTAGATTGAAAGATTTAATAAACGTTTGCTGTATTTCATTAATATGACATTTAATTTCAATATTAAATATTCAACGATGTTTTTTATTTTGCGATAGGCAGTTTACATGCATATAATAAAGTAACAAAAAAATAACAAAAACAACACAGTTTTTAAATTTTATTTTATAATGTGAATTTTTCCTCCAGTAAATGCAATTTTTTACGTGTTAAAGCATCCTTTTGGCGTTTTCCCCCATCAGTGCACAAAACCCAAGGCTGTTCCAGACATACAGTTGTATGTGGTGGGCGGACTAACAAAAATTAAAGCATTTATGTAATGTGAAGAGGTCGAGATATCTCATACATCTTCCATTTAAAAATGTCAAAGGACACCTATTACTAGTCTTGCTGGGAAAATATGTCCGACTAGGACATCGGTACCTGTCTGCAGGACTTAGAATACTAAGTTGTGGGTGTCCATATGTCTTTAAATCCCAGGCACTAGGACATGCATTCCAAGGAATGGGAGACCCAGGATATGCATTCCCAGGACGAATCCCTAGGAATACATTATCATAAAATCTGCATGGTCAATAATGTTTCTCTTCACTTAGAAGTCCTTAAATTGATGGAGAACGTCGTGGATCTCAATCATTTTTCCAATTACGGCGCAAACTTGAATTGAGTCAATACCTTGTCTTCACGGAGGATGGACGAATGAACCGAGAGATCGAAAACAGAATCTAGAAGGCAAACAACATCAGTTACCAGCTCTCCCCACTCCTCAGACATCAAAACTTTCCAATTGGAACCCAAGGTTAAACTAATACAATCAATATTTATGCATACCCTCACCTACCAGTGCCAAACATGGGCTCTGACAAAAACCCTACAACAGAAGATAGCCGCCTGCGAAATGAGATGTCTACAAAAAGCAATGAACATCACGAGAAGGGATAAAATCAGGAACAGTGTGGTACGGGAAACAGTCGGGACAACACCCGTCCATCAGTATATTCAAAAAGAGACTATCAATTGGTTCGGTCACCTGGCACGAATGCCCCCACATCTACCGGGGAGCAAAGCGCACATAAAGAAACGCTCCGGTTTCAAGGTAAGAGGAAGACCGAAGAAGAAGTGGGTAGATGGAGTACGTGAGATCTTGCAATTGAACAACATCCAACTCATCCAATCCTTCCACCTCACCAGAGACAAGAAAACTCCAACTCTTTCTCCCCTCGACGGTACAAGAAGGATGAAAAAAATCTATCCTTCATGCGGGGATAACGCAACAAGCATTCAAATGGGTCGGCCATATTTGATTCTATGTTGTTAAGTAAATTAATACGCGTATTGCGCGCGGGGGCTACATTAAGGTTACTTGCTTACATAATGCCTGCTTATTAAATTGCGGATCTCTCAAAGTATACGGGTAAAGATTGTGCCGCTTATGAATACCCCTGATGTGAAAACTCAATCTTGCGAGACCTAAAGACAATTGCCTTATCATGAATATGAAATATACACGTAATGTATGCGATAACAAAATAGATGCCTTTGAACTTCATAACTCTCACGATCCATACCTAACAAAAGGAGTTAATATGATAGATGGGTTAATGTTGATGGGAGAAAATTGTATACAAAAGATGGCGATATCCTTGCATTTCAATTAGAATACCTTTGTGATGTTTGCATACAGATATGTTTAACTCATACCACAGTGCCATTCGTTACATAGAAGGGAAGCGTGTGAAAGTAAAGCGCTTTTCGGGCCAGAAATGTCTTGCATAGCCATGCTGAATATGCCAAGACTTATACAACGCCGCCTGCTTGGGCTACCGATGATAGTGCAACCTGACAGAAAATTGGGGAGATTAATCCCACCTGCTCAAAACTTATCAAAGAAGATAACAGTGCCCGTATTTAATAAACAAAGGGGAATGGCGCCAGTTATCCAGCTCAAGCTAGGCCTTGTGAAACAGCCATGGCGTTTTAGAAAGGTTAGTGATATCAGATATTGTGTGTTAAGTCTTCTTTCTCCTTGTGTTATTTTCAAGTCAATAAATTCTTGTTTTGAATTATATTAAACAAAGACAACAATAATATTCAATTCTAAAGTCAAGATCTGTTAAATTAGGCGGTTCTTTTTTCCACAATATATCATGTAATGAAGCAGTTAAAACGATTTTTGACATCTATTACGCTTTGATCGTGGGAATTTTTTTGATGGTAAGTCTGGGTCGTACTGTGCGTGCATTTTTTTTTTTTTTTTTTTTTTGCAAACGGTTTACAAGATGTTGCCGATCGAAATATGCCAAAGATTCTCATTCAGCTCACAAGCTACCGCCAGATTTTGTGGTTGCTTCATGGTTGCCAAAAGAGTGCAAGCACAGTGTGACCCACGCTTAACGGGCCAAATGTAAATACACATAACAAGCAAGTGTTTGAAAAACTTAAATGTCGAAGTGTAAACTTGGTATTTCCTTGCTCGTTCAGCCTGTGGAATACCCTGAAATAACTGGCTCGGATCATTGGAGACGAAAAATGCGCACCCAATTTAGGGCCCTCGACACAAACGGTGATGGTTACTTGACAAAAGAAGATATAGAGATGGGCGCTAGACGTACTGCAGCGTACATGAATCTTAGTGGTAATTTTTTTAAAATTCTTTTTAAATATAAATGACAATATTGGCTTCATGCTCTAGGTTTGTTTGATAATAAAAGCAATACATTATATTGGGTTTCTAAATATTTTATCACTTATCCAGAAAGTGGCGTTTTTTATTTTGTACAGACGCTCGCACACGCATTTAACGTACAAATGTGTCTTTCAGTCAAGATATTGTTATAAACATAGTTATTGATCTATTTGTTTTTGTATTTATACTGTAATGTATACATTTCAGACGAAAACACTGAAATTATTCTGGACCAACGCCTTGCCTACTGGAGAGATTCACTTTCTAAAGGTAGAATATCCGAGGATCGGTTCGTGGATAATCAGCTCGTCGTCATGAACGACAACAATTGTCGAGAAATTTTGTTTGATAGCCTTTGTTCAAGATTTCGAGCGATGGATTTGGACGGTGATGGACTTATTTCTCCAGATGAACATGCTGCTATTTTCTACAGTTTCAACATCCCTACTGAGCATTCAAAGAAAGTATTCGACATCATAGACAGCGACAGTGACGGCTTCATTACCCAAGAAGAGTTCGTTCTCGCACTCACTGAATTCAATTTAACCGAAAATCCTGACAATAAATTCAACGAGTGCTTCGGTCCACTCGTTGACAATGAAAACTGATGTATTTTCTATCGCCAAAAAGAGAAAAAATATTCTGCCCAAATGATTGTCGAGTTCAAAAGAAACATGCATGTACTGCAATGAATACAGTATTTCATATATTGAGATTCGAGATAAGTGTCTAAACATACGGGATCATGAGAAACGACAGGAACAGAAATACTGTCGAATGTGTAAGACACAAAATGAGAAAAACCACTTTTGAATACCAGGAGGGGATTGTTGTCTTTATATATTAGCTAATTTACACACACAACAGTGTAAATGAAAGTAGACGTTTGATCGTGTGATATTTGTTGTGAGACGATAACACAGAATGCTAAAACTCTCTCAAATATACGCAAAGATTTGATATATTACAATTCTTTCAGCAAAACACGATGACTTTAAAGTTTTCCTTCAAATAATTACATAATAAAACATTTCAAACTTGTCCTTTAAATGAAGACAAGTTATACAATATCCCTAATGCGCTAAGACAGTGACCGTCTTTGGCAAAATAAGATGACTGTGCAATTCTTATCAGTAAAAACATGATGACTGTGAAGTTTTCTCTCAAATGATAATATAATGAAACATTTCAAACGTGTCCTTTGAATGAAGAAAGTTATTCAATATCCATAACGCAATGATAAGACAATGGCTGAATTTAGCAAACACAATNTATATATATATATATATATATATATATATATATATATATATATATATATATATATATATATATATATATATATATATATATATTATTTCAAGTCCTTTTCTAATGGGGGCGTACCTTTTTGTCTCTCTAGTGCATTCTGGATCTTTTTCAAAACCATTTCCCCGTCAATTGTTTTTCAATCTGATGACACTCCCAGCTTTTTCTCCTCACATTCTGTTCTGTTGCATCACGGTGATGCCGATCGTCTTCCTTGTTTATGTTAGTGCAATCAGATTCTCCGTAAACCAACTTGCAATTTTTTAATGATAACAAAATAATACTATACCATTGATAACATTGCTAAACCATAATACATACATACAGGCTACCCTCTACCAGGGCGACAGATAGATTTTTACAGATATTCACAGATATGTCTCTAGATAGATAGACTGTCTGTTTGGTCTGTAGTCTTCAGACATAAAGTTTATTAAATTACCAATCTCTCAAAGTGTATGGGTAAAGGATGCACTACCTATGAATGCCCCTGATATGAAGATTCAGAACGTAATGTATGGGATAACAAAATGGTTGCCTTTGATCTTTATAGCTTTATAGCTCTTTAAAGCTATACAATCCATACCTAACAAGAGGAGGTAATATGATAGTTGGGTTAATGTTGACGGGGTGAAAATTGTACACAAAAGATGCAGTTTTTCTTGCATGAATGTCTTTGTGATTTTTGCATACAGATCTGTTGTAAGTGATAGATAAATACGAGTCGTCGATCTGTACGTGAAATATTACGCCAATACACGAGTAAATTTCACGTACAGCTCGGCGACGAGTGTTGTATCTGGCTTAAACCACGGTCTCTGATTGGCTACTACATGTACACTAGTAGTGTAACAGACCGTGGAATGCACTCGTACATGACGTGCTTGTATGTCGAATACAGCACAGTCGAGGTTTTTGTTCTACGAGCTAGCCGTGGTTTAACTGAGATTAAAGCACCCTCCTGTCAAAAGACGATAGGTCGCGCCGTGCTTTATTTCGTGTAAAGTCACGTCATCCACGAATGCGTTCCACGCACCAGTGCACAGCACTAACGAGGTTGTCACCTACAGCATGACACAGAGGCAATAGATGTGACCGTGTTACTCCACTCGTTTCACCTTGTACTTTATCTATAGCCTACAGTACCATTCGTAACATAGAACAAGCGTGTGAAAGTAAAGCGTTTTTCGGGCAAGAAATGTCTCGCGTAGCCATGCTGAATATGCCAAGACTTATTCAACGCCGCCTGCTTGGGCTACCGATGATAGTGCAACCTGACAGAAAATTGGGGAGATTAATCCCACCTGCTCAAAACTTATCAAAGAAGATAACAGTGCCCGTATTTGATAAACAAAGGAGAATGGCGCCAGTTATCCACCTAAAGCAAGGGTTGGTGAAACAGCCATGGCGTTTTAGAAAGGTTAGTGATATAAGATACCGTGTGTTAAGTCTGACGTCTCCATGTGATCTTTTTCAAGTCAATAAATCCTTGTCTTAAATAATAACAAAGCAAGACAACTATCAGTAATATTCAATTCCAAAGTCAAGATCTGTTAAAATAGGCGGTACTTTTTTCCTCGATATATCATGTAATGAAGTAATTAAAACAATTTATTACAATCTATTACGCTTTGATCGTGGAAATTTTTATGATGGTAAGTCTCGGTCATATTTGGTACCTTATTGCAAACAGTGTACGAGATGTTGCCGATCAAAATATGCCAAAGATTGTCATTCAGCTCACAAGCGACCGCCAGATTTTGTGGTTGCTTAACGGTTGCCAAAAGGTTGCAAGCACAGTGTGACCCATGCTTTACTGGCCAAATGTGAATACACACAACAAGCAATATCAAACACGTCCAGTGTTTGAAAAAATTAAATGCCGAAGTGTAAACTTTGTATTTCCTTGCTTCTTCAGCCTGTGGAATACCCTCAAATAACTGGCTCGGATCATTGGAGACGAAAAATGCGCACCCAATTTAGGGTCCTCGACACAAACGGTGATGGTTACTTGACAAAAGAAGATATAGAGATGGGCGCTAGACGTACTGCAGAGTGCATGAATCTTAATGGTGAATTAATTAATTTTTAATATAAATGACAATATTAGCTTCATGCTGTAGGTTTGTTTAATAATAAAAGCAATACTTTATATTGGGTTTCTAAAATATTTTATTACTTATCTAGAAAGTGGCGTTTTTTATTTTGTACAGACGCTCGCACATGCATTTAAAGTACAAATGTGTCTTTCAGTCAATATATTCTTATAAACATAGTTATTGATCTACTTGTTTTGTATTTATACTGTAATGTATACATTTCAGACGAAAACACTGAAATTCTTCTTGAGCAACGCCTTGCCTACTGGAGAGATTCACTTTCTAAAGGTAAAATATCCGAGGATCGGTTCGTGGAGAATCAGCTCGTCATCATGAACGACAACAATTCCCGAGAAATTTTGTTTGATAGCCTTTGTTCAAGATTTCGAGCGATGGATTTGGACGGTGATGGACTGATTTCTCCAGATGAACATGCTGCTATTTTCTACAGTTTCAACATCCCTACTGAGCATTCAAAGAAAGTATTCGACATCATAGACATCGACAGTGACGGCTTCATTACCCAAGAAGAGTTCGTTCTCGCACTCACTGAATTCAATTTAACCGAAAATCCTGACAATAAATACAACGAGTGCTTCGGTCCGCTCGTTGACAATGAAAACTGATGTATTTTCTATCGCCAAAAAGAGAAAAAAATATTCTGCCCAAATGATTGTCGAGTTCAAAAGAAACATGCATGTACTGCAATGAATACAGCATTTCATATATTGAGATTCGAGATAAGTGTCTAACATACGGGATCATGAGAAACGACAGGAACAGAAATACTGTCGAATGTGTAAAACACAGAATGAGAAAAACCACTTTTGAATACCAGGAGGGGATTGTTGTCTTTATATATTAGCTAATTCACACACACAACAGTGTAAATGAATGTAGACGTTTGATCGTGTGATATTTGTTGTGAGACGATAACACAGAATGCTAAAACTCTCTCAAATATATGCAAAGATTTGATATATTACAATTCATTCAGCAAAACACGATGACTTTAAAGTTTTCCTTCAAATAATTACATAATAAAACATTTCAAACTTGTCCTTTAAATGAAGACAAGTTATACAATACCCTTTATGCGCTAAGACAGTGACCGTCTTTGGCAAAATAAGATGACTGTGCAATTCGTATCAGTAAAAACATGATGACTGTGAAGTTTTTCTTCAAATAATAATATAATGAAACATTTCAAACGTGTCCTTTGAATGAAGAAAGTTATTCAATATCCATAACGCAATGATAAGACAATGGCTGAATTTAGCAAACACAATTACTCTGCAATTCTTTCCGTTATTGTATTAGTACAGAGTAGGCTTTTACAGATCAATAGCCAAATGCTACAGGACTGTGAGCGGACCTGTGCTTGTTTAAGCCCCCGTCACACTTATTTGGAATCAGCAGGAATTAAGCAGAACCAGCCAGAATGACTAAATTTAAAAATTCGCCCTACGTTCGGAAAGACATTTCAAATTGACCTAAATTCTTGTTGGAATTCAAGGAAAAAGTGATGCATACAGTAGGTATAAAATACAACTCATACAGCACCAAACATATTCTAGATTTTATTTTGTGTATTCCCATGACAAACATACGATACACACTCACGGTGACAGACGCGCGTGCACCAAACACCTCATTCTTCTTTATATTTGCAAACAGCATGCACGTTCTTCAGGTGTTAGTTTGTTGATAAATCCACTTAACAGATAAGACTCCCTCCCTCTGCTTGTCACATATTTAAAATATCACCTCATATCCGAGGGCATCTAGTGCATTCGTCACTAAAATTCGCTCAGAAGCCTCAATTACGCTTCAAGGGTCACTAAAAATTGCATTAAAAGTATATCACGCCTCCGAAATTGCAGGTCTTAAACGACTTACTTCACTACTCGGGAGGTTTATCCTACCTGCTCAAAACTTATCTACAAAAATAGCATGTCCTTATACAATAAACATAGGAAAATGACGACAGTTATCTAGGTCAAACAAGGCCTGGTGACGGGATAAAAAGCCATTAAGAAAAGATTGTCGAAATGGCAGGGAATGCAATTGGAACGGATCTTACCCCCATCTTATTTATCTCGATAGGGCTACAAATAAAACAGATGCCATCATGACTCATAGCCATCTGTTATCAGGAAAAGGTTGTTGTAAAGTAAGTAAGTTACATATAAAACGTGTAAATGAATGTAGACTTTGGTCATGAACTTTTTGTTATAAGACATTAACACAATGCTTTAGCTAACTTATATATATGAAGGGCTTTCATAATCTATGCAATTAGTTCACCACATCCTGATAATACAAACAGTTCATCAGATCATTTGTCAAAATAAATAAATAAATAAATAAATAAATAAATAAATAAATAAATAAATAAATAAAAAAGTAAAAAAATATATACATTTAACATATAAAAGTATATTGCTAAAGTATACCGCTCCAGCTTGATGGGAAAAAGGGACTCTATCTTTGAAACATGGAGGCACGACATTGCCATAATGAAATGCAGATGTACTTAGTACATGCGAAAAAGAAATCTAACGACTCAGAACTTGTAAAACGAGTTGATAATAGATACTTTAACGTTGACTGAGTGAAAACGTATGTAAAAGATGCAGCTTTTTGCATTCCATTTTTGCGTTTTTGTTGTTTGCAGAAAGGTTTTTATTCAGGCCACACTTGAATTCCTTTCATAAAAGATTTAACCTTAATTTTTAGGACATTTATCCCTACTGGGCAAAACTTATCAAAGAAGATACAGCTGGCCTTATATTATCAACATAGGGAAATGACGCCAGTTATGCAGCTCAAGCAAGGCCTGGTGAAACAGCCAGGGCATTTTAGAAAGGTATGATATATTAGATATATTACATCTTTTGGCGCCATTTGTGCTTTTCATTTGTACTTTTCTTGCCTGACGTTATAGTAAAAGGATAATAACTCTTCGTATGAGATCTATATTTCACAATAAAAACATTGTGAACAACTCATAGAAATATAATATATTCTGTTTTACCACAAAAACAGCAGTTATAGCCATTATTGTATATCTGAGCTTGTCTTTAGACCACGTGACCTCCATTGATGGCTACACTCTGTTATAATCTTTTAAGAGATTATAACAAAAAACTTACTTTTTTGAAAAAAAAACAGGGACTAACTTTGAATGTAAAAAATGGATTCATTAACCATCGATAAGTATGGGAAAACTGTTGTTTACTCCTGAGAAATAAATTATTTGGCCAAAAAACAAACAGGTAAGTCAATTTTCAGTAAACTTCAATTAGCACAGCTTTAATATGCATAAACATACAAGCTACATGTTGCACAAGATCTGTTAACCAATAGTTCGCGTTTTGTCTGATATATATATATATATATATATATATATATATATATATATATATATATATATATATATATATATATATATATATATATGATGGACCCAATGTCCTTCGGACAACCATAACCAGAAACCGACGTCCGGAGTACCTCGGTACCTGAGGGACTTGGGTTACTGTTACACTACATCTAGATTGAAACTTTAACGAGCTCTTCCCCCATCAAGGTCGTCTCATTGCTGGATGAGAAGGGAGAGGAAGAAGAGATAGAAGAAGATGATCGAGTCTGTAGATCAGCGAGCGACTGTAAGGCCGACGCTCAGGCCGCTTCTAACATGCATAATAAATGATCAGAATAACCATTTTGGTTGTTTTGTTTTGAGTCCGTCTCCGGCAAAGGCGCACGACACCAAAGTCTTACGAACCTCACGAGAAATAGAAACACCATAGCCTGAGGGTTACAATTTGGTTATTAAGAAATTATGGTATCTATGATTGGAAATGTCATGACGTTGTAATTAGGTCATAAACTTAACCCCTGTTGACCTTTAAATTAGTTGCACATGATTGATTTTTCATTTAGTTGGAACTGATATATTAAACAGGTTTTAGTGAAATACGGTTACCAAGATATAGATAATATGACATTATTCACTCGAAAAGTACCATGACCTTGAAATTTGTTCATAACCTTGGCCTCTGGTGACCTTAAAAATACTTGCAAGTGTTCGGCAGTGCCTCACTTGGTTGGCATTGCTTCTTATAACATGTTTCTATTACAAAGGGAAACTGTAATGTATACAATATGGCATTTTTGCGCCAAAAATGCCTTGACCTTGTAATTAGGCCATGACCCAAGGTGCCCTTGGCAATAATTGCAATAGATTGACAGTACCTTTCTTAATAGAAATTGATACTTAAAAAATGTTTCTGTGACATTGGGTTCCCAAGATATGGACTTAAAGGTGATCATCCCTATTCAATGGCGGCCATTTTGGATCTTTGTGGAAAACGAGATTTTGCCAAGGCGGGATTCATGAGAGAAATTTTAGGGCTATATCGGGCCTTCAACGGACCAGAATCAGTTGTGAACCCTTTGTCACCAATTTTTCTAACCTATGTTGTTTATTGACTGGCCTATTGACTTTTCTAATCTAAGTTGTTTATTGACTGGCCTATTTCCGCTTTATGCCCTCCTAGACAATTAGAATGAGGAAATTGAAACTGAATATTAGTAGACACATCATACTGATGAATCAATAGAGACTGTGCACGCCGGAAGTCTCTCAGATTTGCCTGTGATTCGTCCGAATTAACAGAACGGATGGTTCACGGTTCATGCCACACCGGTTTTCAATTTTCACGTGGTTGTGTATCGCTCGGCAAACGGTGTGCGACTGGTAACCTATAGCTTGAATGTGGTTTTTAGAGGTTGCAGATACCATGCCTACTGCAGCCTGGTTGCAACCCGTTGCTACAAGGTTGCCAATCAAAATATTTTTATTTTGTACTATTTGTACTTATTCAGCTTGCAAAGAGATCGCAAGCGACCGCCAGATTTTGTGGTAGCTAAACTATTAGGGTTAAGGGTTGAAAGCTAAGTGTACGTGACCAGTGCTTTATATGCTTTTACTGGTTAAATTAAACAGTCAATATCAAACAAGTTTAGTGTTTAAAAAATCAAATGCCACAGTGCAACCTTGGTTTTTCCTTGCTTCTTCAGCCAGTGGAATACCCTCAAATAACTGGCTCGGAACATTGGAGACGAAAAATGCGCACCCAATTTAGGGCCTTCGACGTAAACGGTGATGGTTACTTGACAAAAGAAGATTTAGAGATGAGCGCCAGACGGAGTTCAGAGTACATGAAGCTTGATGGTAAATATATTAATTCTGAATATAAGTGACAATATTGGTTTCATACTTTATAGATTTATTTGATAATCAAAGCAATACTACGTATTGTGTTTCTAAAATATTTTATCACTTATCCAGAATGTAACCGCTTTTTATTTTGTACTATTTGTCTTACTATTTATACTGTAATGTATACATTTTAGAAGAAAACACTCAAATTCTTCTGAGCCAACGCCTTACCTACTGGAGAGATTCAATTTCTAAAGATTCGACAGGCAGAAATACAGATAAAATTTCCGAGGATAAGTTTGTGGAGAATCAGCTCGTCAACATGAACGACAGCAATTATCGAGAAATTTTGTTTGATGCCATTTGTTCAAGATTTCAGATGATGGATCTTGACGGCGATGGGCTTATTTCTCCAGATGAACATGCTGCTATATTCTACGGTTTCAACATCCCTACTGAGCATTCAAAGAAAGTATTCGACATCATAGACAGCGACAGTGACGGCTTCATTACCCAAGAAGAGTTCGTTCGCGCACTCACTGAATTCGATTTAACCGAAAATCCTGACAACGAATACAACGAGTGCTACGGTCCGCTCGTTGACAATGAAAATTGATGTTTTTTCTATCGTCAAAAAGAGAAAGAAAAACAAATATTCTGCCCAAATGATTATTGAGGTTACAAAAAACACGCATGTACTGCAATGAATATAACATTTCATATATTAGATTCGAGATGAGTACCTAAACATACGGGATCAATAGAAACGACAGGAACAGAAATAGTGTCGAATGTGTAAAACGCAAAATGAAGAAAATGACATATGTATTGCAGGAGAGGATTGCTGTACTTGTATTTTAACTTAGTCACATACAAAGAAGTGTAAATGAATTTACACGTTTGATCGTAAAATATTTGTTGTAAGACGCAACCACAGAATGCTACAACTCTTTCAAATATATTCAAAAATTTGATATACCTCAATTTATTTGATAGCTTGTAACAAACAAAGAGTTTGCTCTAGCTTGAACTGACATATATAAAAGCTGATATCAAGGCTTTTCATAAACTAACAATGTTACGTAGCTTTACAAAATAGGCGTGAGTAGAAACACCAGCGATTACATCATTATATGTTTTAAATATTAGTTCATCGTTAACATATCGTATATTAGACACGTGTATATGTTTTTTTAGATAAATATTTTAACATGTAGTATGAATTGTATGAGACCATGCAATCAACCTTACCGATATGGTCGGATGCTGTATGCTTCTGTCAAAATTATAAGCTTTTATTTCAAATGTAGTCCATTTGAATGCAAATTTTTTTTTCACAAAATAAGCCTCAACTTTCACAATGTTCACCTTTAATTCTTGTAAATCTACCTTTGCCGTCATGCAGTATTTTCATCTCAATAGTTTTATGTAAACACATGCTGACATTTCCAAAGGCCTGACACCTTGCGCTAGTTACATTTGCCGAATTGCCAAATATACAGTAGTGGCCTTCTTTATGCTGTTCAGAATTGATTAATTTTGCATCAAAAGTATCAAAATGATGATTGAGTGCACTTAAATATGCATTAGTATCTTCATCTGTACCTTTGACAGTGTTGCTGTCTTTTCTTAGATTTCAAGCGAGAAGTACCATTAAAGTTAGACCGAGGTCTTTTTCTCATAGATCTGTATACTAAAGCTACATGTATTATACCGGTACACTTGCAAAGGCCCTTACGTAAAAGTACGCACGATACTCCCCAACACAAGTTCGTTCCTTGCTCTTTACCTAATTAATAATAACTTTACAGAAAGATCGAGGCTCCGTACAGGCGATTCTTTTACGTAAAACGTAGGGATTCAAGTTGTCAACTTCACAAGGTGTAAAAGTGCAACGCCAAAGTAAACCGTTCCTACTCGATGGGAAAAGGGTCTCAGTCTCGAGAAACTTGGTGACACGCCATTGCTATAATGAAATGCAGATACACATAATATATGCGATAAGAAAACTAACGGCCCGAACTTCATTGCGTTCTGACTATCAGCTTACAAAACGAGTTGATATGTGATACTTAAATGTTGACTGGGTGGAAATGAACACAAAAGAAAGAGCTTCTCTCACATTTTAATGAATGTCTTTTTGTAACCTGCATACAAATGTTTTATTCAGACCACACTATCATTCGTAACATAGAACAAGCGTGTGAAATTAAAGCGCCTTGCGGGCCAAAAATTTCTTGCAAAGCAATGCTGAATATGTCCAGACTTATTCAACACCGCCTGCTTGGGCTAGCGATGATAGGACCACCTAACAGAAAATATGGAAGATTTATCCTACCTGCACAAAACTTATCAAAGAAGATACAGCCGCCCGTATTTGATAAACAAACGGAAATGACGCCAATTATCCACCTCAAGCAAGGCCTGGTGAAACAGCCATGGCGTTTTAGAAAGGTTAGTGATATGAGATATTCTTTTAAATCTTTCGTCTCCATGTACTCATTTTCAAGTCAATAAATCCTTGTCTAAAATAATATCAAAGCAAGACATCTCTCAGTAATGTTCAATTCAAAAGCAAAGATTTGTAAAAATAGGTGGTACTTTTGTCTGCGATATATCATGTGATGAAGCAATTAAAGTAATTTTTGACATCTGTCAGGCTTTTGATAGTGGAGATTTTTATGATGGTAAGTCTGGGACATACTGTGCTTGTAACCCTTTTGTGACCCTTTGGCAAACTCAGTCGCAAGGAGGTTGTCATATGTTTTTAAGTGGTTGCATAATATTGCTTACAGGTTGCAAGCTATCATTGACACATAAACATTTTTTGTGCACCGACAACAGATGCGACTGAGGATGACAAATATTGGTACCCCAATGGTTGCTTATCGGTCTTTTCTTTGTTGCCAGTAGTTCGTTATAACCAGACTAAAACCAGGCCACTTGCAACTGCACGGTTGAACAAGGACTTAAGCATAATGGAATTTATAATTATCATTATAACAGTGTTGGTTGCAATACGAATTAGATATTTAGCTATAGTAATGTATGTTTTCTTACAATCGTTAAAAAAAGAAAGCGCGTGACGAAACTAACCTGACTTCCAAGTATACAGCAGCCAACACGCTTCCTGGTCTTTATGGTTGTTCCATTTCACCAGGTTTTCTTGTCTTCTGAGAGGGAAATAGATGTGAAATCAGCTACCGCCATAAGTTTGCAACACCTATGATCTGTGCGACCTTGTGGTTACCAGTTGGCAATCGATCGCTACAGTCCTGCAGCCGTTTCTTATTTATCAAGTGGTCGCTGACAGGTTGTGTATCGCCCTGCAAACGGTGTGCGACTGGTAAACAATAGGTTGAATGTGCTTTTTAGAGGTTGCAGATACCATACATACCGCAACATTGTTGTGCAAGAGATTGCCGATCAAAATATGCCAAAGCTTCTTATTCAGCTCGCAAAGTTATCACAAGCGACCGCCAGATTTTGTGGCTGCTAAACGGTTGCCAAAAGGTTGCAAATACTGTGTGACCCATGTTTTACTGGCCAAATATGAATAAATACAATAAGCAATATAAAATAAGTGCCGAAGTGTAACCTTGGTATTTTATTGCTCGTTCAGCCAGTGGAATACCCTCAAGTAACTGGATCGGATCATTGGAGACGAAAAATGCGCACCTTATTTAGGGCCTTCGACATAAACAGTGATGGTTACTTGACAATAGAAGATGTAGAGATGAGCGCCAGGCGGAGTTCAGAGTTCATGAAGCTTGATGGTAAATGTATTCATTTTTAATATAAATGACAATATTGGTTTCATACTTACAGGCTTGTTTGGCTATAAAAGCAATACTATATATTATGTTTCTAAAATATTTTATCATTTATCCAGTAAGTAATCCCTTTTTATTTCGCACAGACGCGTGCACACGCATTTAACGTACAAATGCGTCTTTCAGTCAAAACAATTAAAAACAAATTTAAAAAGGACTATTGTAATATACATTGTCATTATATTATATATTTGTATATATACTGTAATGTATACATTTCAGACGAAAACACTAAAATTATTCTTGACCAACGCCTTACCCACTGGAGAGATTCAATTTCTAGAGATTCGACAGGATGGAAAACAAGTAAATTATCCGAGGGTCAGTTCGTGGAGAATCAGCTCGTCAACATGAACGACAATCATTTCCGAGAAAGTTTCTTTGATACCCTTTGTTCAAGATTTCAAATGATGGATCTTAACGGTGATGGACTTATTTCTCCAGATGAACATGCTGCTATTTTCAACATCCCTACTGAGCACTCAAAGAAAATATTCGACATCATTGCCTAAACATACGGGATCAATAGAAACGACAGGAACAGAAATAGTATCGAATGTGTAAAACACAAAATGAAGAAAATGACATATGTATTGCAGGAGAGGATTGTTGTACTTGTATATTAACTTAGTCACATACAAAGAAGTGTAAATGAACTGTGACGTTTGATCGTGAAATATTTGTTGTAAGACGCCACCACAGAATGCTACAACTCTTTCAAATATATTCAAAAATTTGATATACCTCAATTTATTTGATAGCTTGTAACAAACACATAGTTTGTATGTGACTAGCTTGAACTGACATATATTAAAGCTGATATCAACGCTTTTCATAAACTAACAATGTTACGTAGCTTTACAGAATAGGAGTGAGTAGGAACACCAACGGTTACATCATTATATGTTTTAAATATTAGTTCATCGTAAACATATTGTATGTTAGACACGTGTATAAGTTTTTTAAGATAAATATTTTAACACGTAGTATGAATTGTATGAGACCATGCAATCAACCTTACCGATATGGTCGGATGCTGTATGCTTCTGTCAAAATTATAAGCTTTTATTTCAAATGTAGTCCATTTGAATTCAATTTTTTTTTCACAAAATAAGCCTCAACTTTCATGATGTTCACCTTTAATTCTTGTAAATCTACCTTTGCCGTCATGCAGTATTTTCATCTCAATAGTTTTATCTAAACACATGCTGACATTTCCAAAGGCCTGACGCCTTGCGCTAGTTACATTTGCCGAATAGCCAAATATACAGCAGTGGCCTTCTTTATGCTGTTCAGAATTGGTTATTTTGCATCAAAAGTATCAAAATGATGATTGAGTGCACTTAAATATTTATAAGTATCTTCCCCTGTACCTTTGACAGTGTTGCTGTCTTTTCTAAGATTTCAAGCGAGATGTACACTATAGCCAATAAGTCCCCGGTCACTTTAATAGCACACGCTGTCTACATCAGACGCTCTAATGCGCACGTCCCCGACAGAGTTAATGATAGGGGGATTACGATGGACAGCGCATGTTGCTCACAGCAGTAGGCGCTGCCGCCGAAGTTAAACCGGTAATTAAGTATTTAACTTGNACCTAAGTTGTTTATTGACTGGCCTATTTCCGCTTTATGCCCTCCTAGACAATTAGAATGAGGAAATTGAAACTGAATATTAGTAGACACATCATACTGATGAATCAATAGAGACTGTGCACGCCGGAAGTCTCTCAGATTTGCCTGTGATTCGTCCGAATTAACAGAACGGATGGTTCACGGTTCATGCCACACCGGTTTTCAATTTTCACGTGGTTGTGTATCGCTCGGCAAACGGTGTGCAACTGGTTACCTATAGCTTAAATGTGGTTTTTAGAGGTTGCAGATACCATGCCTACTGCAGCCTGGTTGCAACCCGTTGCTACAAGGTTGCCAATCAAAATATTTTTATTTTGTACTATTTGTACTTATTCAGCTTGCAAAGAGATCGCAAGCGACCGCCAGATTTTGTGGTAGCTAAACTATTAGGGTTAAGGGTTGAAAGCTAAGTGTACGTGACCAGTGCTTTATATGCTTTTACTGGTTAAATGTGATTAAATTAAACAGGCAATATCAAACAAGCTTAGTGTTTAAAAAATCAAATGCCACAGTGCAACCTTGGTTTTTCCTTGCTTCTTCAGCCAGTGGAATACCCTCAAATAACTGGCTCGGAACATTGGAGACGAAAAATGCGCACCCAATTTAGGGCCTTCGACGTAAACGGTGATGGTTACTTGACAAAAGAAGATTTAGAGATGAGCGCCAGGCGGAGTTCAGAGTACATGAAGCTTGATGGTAAATATATTAATTATGAATATAAGTGACAATATTGGTTTCATACTTTATAGATTTATTTGATAATCAAAGCAATACTACGTATTGTGTTTCTAAAATATTTTATCACTTATCCAGAATGTAACCGCTTTTTATTTTGTACTATTTGTCTTACTATTTATACTGTAATGTATACATTTTAGAAGAAAACACTCAAATTCTTCTGAGCCAACGCCTTACCTACTGGAGAGATTCAATTTCTAAAGATTCGACAGGCAGAAATATAGATAAAATTTCCGAGGATAAGTTTGTGGAGAATCAGCTCGTCAACATGAACGACAGCAATTGTCGAGAAATTTTGTTTGATGCCATTTGTTCAAGATTTCAGATGATGGATCTTGACGGCGATGGGCTTATTTCTCCAGATGAACATGCTGCTATATTCTACGGTTTCAACATCCCTACTGAGCATTCAAAGAAAGTATTCGACATCATAGACAGCGACAGTGACGGCTTCATTACCCAAGAAGAGTTCGTTCGCGCACTCACTGAATTCGATTTAACCGAAAATCCTGACAACGAATACAACGAGTGCTACAGTCCGCTCGTTGACAATGAAAATTGATGTTTTTTCTATCGTCAAAAAGAGAAAGAAAAACAAATATTCTGCCCAAATGATTATTGAGGTTACAAGAATCATATATGTACTGCAATGAATATAACATTTCATATATTAGATTCGAGATGAGTGCCTAAACATACGGGATCAATAGAAACGACAGGAACAGAAATAGTGTCGAATGTGTAAAATGCAAAATGAAGAAAATGACATATGTATTGCAGGAGAGGATTGTTGTACTTGTATTTTAACTTAGTCACATACAAACAAATGTAAATGAACTGTGACGTTTGATCGTGAAATATTTGTTGTAAGACGCCACCACAGAATGCTACAACTCTTTCAAATATATTCAAAAATTTGATATACCTCAATTTATTTGATAGCTTGTAACAAACAAAGAGTTTGCTCTAGCTTGAACTGACATATATAAAAGCTGATATCAAGGCTTTTCATAAACTAACAATGTTACGTAGCTTTACAAAATAGGCGTGAGTAGAAACACCAACGATTACATCATTATATGTTTTAAATATTAGTTCATCGTTAACATATCGTATATTAGACACGTGTATAGGTTTTTTTAGATAAATATTTTAACATGTAGTATGAATTGTATGAGACCATGCAATCAACCTTACCGATATGGTCGGATGCTGTATGCTTCTGTCAAAATTATAAGCTTTTATTTCAAATGTAGTCCATTTGAATGCAAAAAAAAAAAAAAAACTTTTTTCACAAAATAAGCCTCAACTTTCATGATGTTCACCTTTAATTCTTGTAAATCTACCTTTGCCGTCATTCATCTCAATAGTTTTATCTAAACACATGTTGACATTTCCAAAGGCCTGACGCCTTGCGCTAGTTACATTTGCCGAATAGCCAAATATACAGTAGTGGCCTTCTTTATGCTGTTCAGAATTGATTAATTTTGCATCAAAAGTATCAAAATGATGATTGAGTGCACTTAAATATGTATTAGTATCTTCCCCTGTACCTTTGACAGTGTTGCTGTCTTTTCTAAGATTTCAAGCGAGATGTACCATTAAAGATAGACCGAGCTCCTTTTCTCATAGATCTGTATACTAAAGCTACATGTATTATACCGGTACACTTGCAAAGGCCCTTACGTAAAAGTACGCACGATACTCCCCAACACAAGTTCGTTCCTTGCTCTTTACCTAATTAATAATAACTTTACAGAGAGATCGAGGCTCCGTACAGGCGATTCTTTTACGTAAAACGTAGGGATTAAAGTTGTCAACTTCACAAGGCGTAAAAGTGCAACGCCAAAGTAAACCGTTCCTACTCGATGGGAAAAGGGTCTCAGTCTCGAGAAACTTGGTGACACGCCATTGCTATAATGAATTGCAGATACCCATATTATATGCGATAAGAAAACTAACGGCCCCGAACTTCATTGCGTTCTGACTATCAGCTTACAAAACGAGTTGATATGTGATACTTAAATGTTGACTGGGTGAAAATGAACACAAAAGAAAGAGCTTCATGAGCTTCTCATGAATGTCTTTTTGTAACCTGCATACAAATGTTTTATTCAGACCACACTATCATTCGTAACATAGAACAAGCGTGTGAAATTAAAGCGCCTTGCGGGCCAAAAATTTCTTGCAAAGCAATGCTGAATATGTCCAGACTTATTCAACACCGCCTGCTTGGGCTAGCGATGATAGGACCACCTAACAGAAAATATGGAAGATTTATCCTACTTGCACAAAACTTATCAAAGAAGATACAACCGCCCGTATTTGATAAACAAACGGAAATGACGCCAGTTATCCACCTCAAGCAAGGCCTGGTGAAACAGCCATGGCGTTTTAGAAAGGTTAGTGATATGAGATATTGTTTTAAATATTTCGTCTCCATGTACTCATTTTCAAGTCAATAAATCCTTGTCTAAAATAATATCAAAGCAAGACATCTCTCAGTAATGTTCAATTCCAAAGCAAAGATTTGTTAAAATAGGTGGTACTTTTGTCTGTGACATATCATGTGATGAAGCAATTAAAGTAATTTTTGACATCTGTCAGGCTTTTGATAGTGGAGATTTTTATGATGGTAAGTCTGGGACATACTGTGCTTGTAACCTTTTTGTAACCCTTTGGCAAACTCAGTCGCAAGGAGGTTGTCATAGGTTTTTAAGTGGTTGCATAATGTTGCTTACAGGTTGCAAGCTATCATTGACACATAAACATTTTTTGTGCACCGACAACAGATGCGACTGAGGATGACAAATATTGGTACCCCAATGGTTGCTTATCGGCCTTTTCTTTGTTGCCAGTAGTTCGTTATAACCAGACTAAAACCAGGCCACTTGCAACTGCACGGTTGAACAAGGACTTAAGCATAATGAAATGTATAATTATCATTATAACAGTGTTGGTTGCAATACGAATTAGATATTTAGCTATAGTAATGTATGTTTTCTTACAATCGTTAAAAAAAGAAAGCGCGTGACGAAACTAACCTGACTTCCAAGTATACAGCAGCCAACACGCTTCCTGGTCTTTATGAAGGTTCCATTTCACTAGGTTTTCTTGTCTTCTGAGAGGGAAATAGATATGAAATCAACTACCGCCATAAGTTTGCAACACATATGATCTGTGCGACCTTGTGGTTACCAGTTGGCAATCGATCGCTACAGTCCTGCAGCCGTTTCTCATTTATCAAGTGGTCGCTGACAGGTTGTGTATCGCCCTGCAAACGGTGTGCGACTGGTAAACAATAGGTTGAATGTGCTTTTTAGAGGTTGCAGATACCATACATACCGCAACATTGTTGTGCAAGAGATTGCCGATCAAAATATGCCAAAGCTTCTTATTCAGCTCGCAAAGTTATCACAAGCGACCGCCAGATTTTGTGGCTGCTAAACGGTTGCCAAAAGGTTGCAAATACTGTGTGACCCATGTTTTACTGGCCAAATATGAATAAATACAATAAGCAATATAAAATAAGTGCCGAAGTGTAACCTTGGTATTTTATTGCTCGTTCAGCCTGTGGAATACCCTCAAGTAACTGGATCGGATCATTGGAGACGAAAAATGCGCACCTTATTTAGGGCCTTCGACATAAACAGTGATGGTTACTTGACAATAGAAGATGTAGAGATGAGCGCCAGGCGGAGTTCAGAGTTCATGAAGCTTGATGGTAAATGTATTAATTTTTAATATAAATGACAATATTGGTTTCATACTTACAGGCTTGTTTGGCAATAAAAGCAATACTATATATTATGTTTCTAAAATATTTTATCATTTATCCAGTAAGTAATCCCTTTTTATTTCGCACAGACGCGTGCACACGCATTTAACGTACAAATGCGTCTTTCAGTCAAAACAATTAAAAACAAATTTAAAAAGGACTATTGTAATATACATTGTCATTATATTATATATTTGTATATATACTGTAATGTATACATTTCAGACGAAAACACTAAAATTATTCTTGACCAACGCCTTACCCACTGGAGAGATTCAATTTCTAGAGATTCGACAGGATGGAAAACAAGTAAGTTATCCGAGGGTCAGTTCGTGGAGAATCAGCTCGTCAACATGAACGACAATCATTTCCGAGAAAGTTTCTTTGATACCCTTTGTTCAAGATTTCAAATGATGGATCTTAACGGTGATGGACTTATTTCTCCAGATGAACATGCTGCTATTTTCTTCAGTTTCAACGTCCCTACTGAGCACTCAAAGAAAATATTCGACATCATAGACAGCGACAGTGACGGCTTCATTACACAAGAAAAGTTCATTCGCGCAATCGCTGAATTCTGTTTTACGGAAAATCCTGACAACGAATACAACGAGTTCTACGGTCCGCTCGCTGACAATGAAAATTGATGTTTTTTTTCTTTCGCCAAAAAGAGCAAAAAAAAAAAAAAAAAAAAAAAAAAAAAAAAAAAAAAACATAAAACAAAAAAATATGTATATATATATATACATATATTTTGCCCAAATAATTATTGAGTTTACAAGAATCATATATGTACTGCAATTAATATAACATTTCATATATTAAGATTCGAGATGATTGCCTAAACATACGGGATCAATAGAAACGACAGGAACAGAAATAGTATCGAATGTGTAAAACACAAAATGAAGAAAATGACATATGTATTCCAGGAGAGGATTGTTGTACTTGTATATTAACTTAGTCACATACAAAGTAGTGTAAATGAACTGTGACGTTTGATCGTGAAATATTTGTTGTAAGACGCCACCACAGAATGCTACAACTCTTTCAAATATATTCAAAAATTTGATATACCTCAATTTATTTGATAGCTTGTAACAAACACATAGTTTGTATGTGACTAGCTTGAACTGACATATATTAAAGCTGATATCAAGGCTTTTCATAAACTAACAATGTTACGTAGCTTTACAGAATAGGAGTGAGTAGGAACACCAACGGTTACATCATTATATGTTTTAAATATTAGTTCATCGTAAACATATTGTATGTTAGACACGTGTATAACTTTTTTTATATAAATATTTTAACACGTAGTATGAATTGTATGAGACCATGCAATCAACCTTACCGATATGGTCGGATGCTGTATGCTTCTGTCAAAATTATAAGCTTTTATTTCAAATGTACTCCGTTTGAATGCAAAAAAAAACTTTTTTTCACAAAATAAGCCTCAACTTTCATGATGTTCACCTTTAATTCTTGTAAATCTACCTTTGCCGTCATGCAGTATTTTCATCTCAAAAGTTTTATCTAAACACATGCTGACATTTCCAAAGGCCTGACGCCTTGCGCTAGTTACATTTGCCGAATAGCCAAATATACAGTAGTGGCCTTCTTTATGCTGTTCAGAATTGGTTAATTTTGCATCAAAAGTATCAAAATGATGATTGAGTGCACTTAAATATGTATTAGTATCTTCCCCTGTACCTTTGACAGTGTTGCTGTCTTTTCTAAGATTTCAAGCGAGATGTATCATTAAAGATAGACCGAGGTCCTTTTCTCATAGATCTGTATACTAAAGCTACATGTATTATACCGGTACACTTGCAAAGGCCCTTACGTAAAAGTACGCACGATACTCCCCAACACAAGTTCGTTCCTTGCTCTTTACCTAATTAATAATAACTTTACAGAGAGATCGAGGCTCCGTACAGGCGATTCTTTTACGTAAAACGTAGGGATTAAAGTTGTCAACTTCACAAGGCGTAAAAGTGCAACGCCAAAGTAAACCGTTCCTACTCGATGAGAAAAGGGTCTCAGTCTCGAGAAACTTGGTGACACGCCATTGCTATAATGAAATGCAGATACACATAATATATGCGATAAGAAAACTAACGGCCCCGAACTTCATTGCGTTCTGACTATCAGCTTACAAAACGAGTTGATATGCGATACTTAAATGTTGACTGGGTGAAAATGAACACAAAAGAAAGAGCTTCTCTCACATTTTAATGAATATGTCTTTTTGTAACCTGCATACAAATGTTTTATTCAGACCACACTATCATTCGTAACATAGAACAAGCGTGTGAAATTAAAGCGCCTTGCGGGCCAAAAATTTCTTGCAAAGCAATGCTGAATATGTCCAGACTTATTCAACACCGCCTGCTTGGGCTAGCGATGATAGGACCACCTAACAGAAAATATGGAAGATTTATCCTACTTGCACAAAACTTATCAAAGAAGATACAGCCGCCCGTATTTGTTAAACAAAGGGAAATGACGCCAGTTATCCACCTCAAGCAAGGCCTGGTGAAACAGTCATGGCGTTTTAGAAAGGTTAGTGATATAAGATATTGTTTTAAATCTTTCGTCTCCATGTGCTCATTTTCAAGTCAATAAATCCTTGTCTAAAATAATATCAAATCAAGACATCTCTCAGTAATGTTCAATTCCAAAGCGAAGATTTGTTAAAATAGGTGGTACTTTTGTCTGCGATATATCATGTGATGAAGCAATTAAATTAATTTTTGACATCTATCAGGCTTTTGATAGTGGATATATTAATGATGGTAAGTCTGGGTCATACTGCGCTTGCAACTTTTTTGTAACCCTTTGGCAAATTCAGTCGCAAGGAGGTTGTCATAGGTTTTAAAGTGGTCGCATAAAGTTGCTTACAGGTCGCAAGCTATCATTGACACATAAAACCTTTTTTTGTGCACCGACAACAAATACGACTGAGGATGACAAATATCGGTACCCTAATGGTTGCTTATCGGTCTTTCCTTGGTTTCCACCAGTTCGTTATAACCAGACTAAAACCAGGCGCATGCCACTTGCAACTGCACTGTCGAACAAGGATTAAAGCAAAATGAAATTTATAATCATCATTATTGCAGTGCTGGTTGCAATACTAATTAGATATTTAGCTATAGTAATGTTTGCTTTCTTACAATCGTTAAATAAAGAAAGCGCGTGATGTACTTGACCCGACTTCCAAGTATATAAGTATATATAGCCTACAGTATATAGCAGCCAACACCCCCCCTTTTTTTGTGAGGATTCTATTTTACTAGGAAGTTTTTCTTGTCTTCTGAGAGGGGAATGGATGTGAAAGCAGCTACCGCCATAAGTTTGTAAGACATGATCTGTGCGACCTTGTGGTTACCATTACAGTCCCACAACTGCTTTGCAATTATCAAGTGGTCGACAGACGGTGTGCGACTGGTAAACTATAGCTTGAATGTGGCCGTTACAGGTTGCAGATACCATAAATTAGGCAACATTATTTTGACCTGTGTACGAGATGTTGCCGATCAAAATATGCCAAAGATTCTCATTCAGCTCGCAAAGTTATCACAAGCGACCGCCAGATTTTGTGGCTGCTAAACGGTTGACAAAATGTTGCAAATACAGTGCAGGCCCGTAGCCGGAGGGGGAGGGGTCTGGGGNCCAATCATGTATTGATAATTGTAGAAATACTTGACTAAATCTAACCACTGCTATGGCACTCGATTAAATGTTGGTAACTACGATACATTACATTTGTAAAGTACAAGAACTTGAAGGGTAAATATCAAGACAATACATGGTGGAGCTGAACACAAAGGAACCAAAAACACTGGCATCAAAGGAGCAATTGACTACAAATTTGGTTTTTCTAGGCAGAACTTTAGACATACATTTCAAACCATTTAGTGGATTTTTTGCGATGCTTACATTTAATTTAATTAAGACACACTGTTTAGTACCTTCTCTTTTATTAAGAAACACATCAGTACATTAAATTATGTACACAATATGACATGTTTATCGGTTTTTCTTTTAAGCCTCCAACTGTGACACTCTGGGGGTCTAGGAGTAACATGCTAAGTAATGACAGTTTACAGTATATCCATTTAATTTTTTGCAACGGGATATATACATTAACAAATATTTTGGTGCAATTTCACCATTGGGCCTATATTAATCACTTGGGTGCCATTAAAACTTTGATTATCACATAAGTACCAATGAACAATAACAGGATCGATGGATCATGTGCAAACGTAAACACACATAGAAATAGAATTCAGTGTAAAAAATAATGACATTTACCATTAAAGGTTATAGAATGAGATTTAAAACTTTGGAAAATATACAGGCCCGTAGTCAGGGGGGGTTCGGGGGGTTCGAAAGAACCGCCCCTTTTGCTGGGAAAAGGTTCACTCTGGGTAAAATTTAATCTAGGTACACGAAGTTTTTATGGAAAAAGGTCCACTTTTTCAGAAAAAGAACCCTCTTTTGAAATTGCTGGCTACGGCCTGCAGTGTGACCCATGCTTTACTGGCCAAATGTGAATAAATACAACAAGCAATATTGAATAAGTGCCGAAGTGTAAACTTTGTATTTCCGTGCTCTTTCAGCCTGTGGAATACCCTCAAGTAACTGGCTCGGTTCACTGGAGACGAAAAATGCGCACCTTATTTAGGGCCTTCGACGTAAACGGTGATGGTTACTTGACAAAAGAAGATTTTGAGATGAGCGCCAGGCGTGGTTCAGAGTACATGAATCTTGATGGTAAGTGTATTTTAATAAATGTATTTTAATACACAAAATTAAATTTTTGAATATAAATAGAAATATTGGTTTCATATTGTAGACTCGTTTGGCAATAAAAGCAATATTGTGTTTCTTTAATATTTTATCATTTATCCAGTAAGTAACCCTTTTTTTATTTCGCACAGACGCGTACACACGCATTTAACGTACAAATGTGTCTTTCAGTCAAAACAATTAAAAACAAATGTAAAAGAAGGACTAGGGCTATTGTAATATACATAGTCATTGTCTATTTATATATATACTGTAATGTATACATTTCAGACGAAAACACTAAAATTCTTCTAGACCAACGCCTTATCTACTGGAGAGATTCAATTTCTAAAGATTCGACAGGTAGGAATACAAGTAAAATATTCGAGGATCAGTTCGTGGAGAATCAGCTCGTCAACATGAACGACATCAATTTCCGAGAAATTTACTGTGATATCCTTTCTTCGAGATTTCAAATGATGGATCTTGACGGCGATGGACTTATTTCTCCAGATAAACATGCTGCTATTTTCTACAGTTTCAATATCCCTACTGAGCACTCAAAGAAAGTATTCGACATCATAGATAGCGACAGTGACGGCTTCATTACCCAAGAAGATTTCATTCACGCATATATTGAATTTTATTTAACCGAAAATCCTGACAACAAATACAACGAGTGCTACGGTCCGCTCGTTGACAATAAAAATTGATGTTTTTTTTCTATCGCCAAAAGAGAAAAAACAAATGTTTTGCCCAAATGATTGCCGAGTTTACAAGAAACACATATGTACTGCAATGAAAATAACATTTCATATATTAAGTTTTCGAGATAAGGACCTAAATA